ACTGGGGTTACAACACGTATGATGGGCAGAGCTATGACGAAGATGTTGAAAGAAAGAGATATGCGCAACCAATCAAGAGAAGTGAAGCTAACTTATAAGTATGTAGCTATTTTCATATTAGAGAAATTTTTAGACTTTAGTTTTGTGGTTTCTTCTGCCCCTCACAATGTGTTTCAACCTTGCAAGTCTATCTTCAAATTGGCCTTGGAAATTGGCCTTGGTGATGGATGAACTAAGCTCATCAAGTAAATCCTTATAAATCAGATGCGTATCCTCATCATTGGTCTCAGCCGGCTGGACCTGTATGCCCTTTTCAACAGAACTTGTACGTAATGGAGCCAAGTTGAAACCTTCATCAACTACTCTATGTGGTAAATATTCCTCGAGTTCCGAATCTATGGAAATCATCGATGCGGTAACGCTTTCCCTACTCACGTTTCTAGTTCTCGAATCCTTCATAATGGCATTCTTGACGAACTTGCAATCAATCTTGTCGCAACAAGGATTCAAAATAAATGAATAGTTCTCATCCTCCATCATCATTCGCTTCAATTTGGCCTCGCATGTCTTGTACACTGCTTGCTGTCTGTCCAATTTCGGCTCAAATGCCTGGTGAGTTGATGCAGGCTGTTGCTGCTGCTGTTGCTGCTGCTGCTGTTGATTTCCCAGCTTGGAGACCAACGACGAGTTGCTAATCAGGTTGGACGAGGAGGAAGGTGATGCCAAATTTTCCTGATCATTGATCCAGAATGAAGTCATTGAGGGTGTGATGGGATGAATATCCCACAATGAGAATAATGGAGGTGGCTGTTGTAACTTGAATGACAGGGTGGATGCTGCTCGTGACATGGATGGTTTCCTCTAGTAAGGTCTTCTAGGTGAAGTCGAGAAGAATAGAATGGTGGTGATGAAGTTGCAAAAAAAGTTATGCAAGTCTATTTTGTGTGAAAAATGAAATTCACTAACAAAATAACTGACAGGGAAATTCGGTGACTTGTCTGATGGTAGAGCCCCTTGTCTGTAGTGTGCTCCATCATTATGCTTGTGTGCTAATGCTCATTGCAACTCCTAATGTTTGGTAACTAGTAGACTGCCTATGGAGCACATGCGTAGTTGACTGCGGATTTTTCCTAAACTTAGAGGTTGGAGGAATTCAATCATATTACAGTTTGGTTACAGTATCAATGCAAATGTTGCTCACCAAAAGTAGTAAAAGGCCCAACTCCCAACAATTTGTACTCAGCTGCTTTGGCAAACATTATTGTGTATTGCAAATGACTGTAGTTCTGAATCCTGCTGCTGTGAGGAATCTTTGCTCTCGCAACTATGAAAAATTCTTGAGACAGTTCTGCCAGCCTCCACCACTGGTATGGTTGAGTGTGGATAGTCTCTCTCTATAAAGTTTCGATAACGATTGGAGATCAATCTCACTCTTCGCAAATTAACACGGCGTTATTTTCCGCGACGCACATAACGTCCAAAGTAACCGCGGAGTTAATGATTTTGATTAATAATACGACGACAGCTGATTGTTATATAAAGATACAGAATGAGTATCTCAACCACCACAATGAGAAACTATTTCAAGGAACAAGACACTATCTAGTGCCAGTCTGAGTGATTAAAAGCTCATCACACAATAGGCTTTGTTCTTCTAACTCAACTCAGCTCTAAAAATGTCATCACCATTAAAAGATACATTAGTATTCGAGCCTATCAAAGTAGGCGAAGTCACTTTATCAA